TTCCGAAAATCAAAATTTATTTGAATGAAATTAGCTTATGCGGTTGACGTAATTACCTATGTGATTAGTGAGATTCACCATTGGTCATTTAGAGGCATAAAACCTTACCAAGTTTAACTCTAGTATTCGCGTTATACTCATTTGGGTGTCCACGAATCGAATATATTTGACAACTCCACATCTCTACAGGGATAACTAGGCTCATTAAGTAGGGACATTAATCCAATTATTAAAAATTTTATAAATAAGAAACGTGAGACGAATCAACATAATCCTGGCATTGAATGGAATTGCGAATGGTACCAAGCAATTCAGAGATCATATTTATTTATTTCAAATGGCCGGCGTTTTGATAGTTGTCATTAGCCCTTTAGTTGACTTCGGGCTTCACAGAACATTAAAGTGGGAAAAATTCGACCGGGGGAAAAGAAGAACGATTCACAGATTTAAAAGAGACAGACAGACACAAAGGCAGAGAAAAGGCTAGATGTGTAGTGTGGAAGGGGTCGAATATGACATACAGTGGGGTCATGGTAGTTTGAAGTGAGAAGTCAACTGCCGAATAATAGACTTTTATGCCGTATGAGTATACGTTGCGCAGGGTGCACCAAGTGGAGGTAAGTCTATCGACCATTCAGAGATTATTTGGCCGTGAGTGATTCATGCTTATCCTTAACGATTTATTTACATCGATCAGAGCATGCACCGTTGCAATTGACATTATTCCATCTATATGCGTCATATTTGATGTGATCACATTAGTATTGGCTACAAGATGAGTTCTTTCTATTCCCCGTATGAAAAACTGCCATATCTTGTTAGTCAAAGTATGTAAAATGAATGCGCGATCCTGCGAATATAATGACGAGGCTGTCTGTATATTCTACTTGTATTTTATAACTCAATAAGCTCCTATTATTATTCATCTAATAGAAATTCTATTCCTTTGGCACTGTGAAGTCTAAATACTAAGATTGGTTTAAATGAATTCTCCATTGCTTATATTCACATTTGGTTGCAACACAACTTCTAAAGACTGCACCCAAGCAACTAATTTTAAGCTAGCTTTGCATCTGTCAGTTAGAAATAAGCTTCCAGCATCCCGAGACAGAAAATGTTCGAGGGTGGATAACAGTCAGAGAGATTTATTAGCTAACAAGCGATAATCTAGTGGAATAAACACCGAGTACATATATATGTGTGTGTGCGCCTAGTTATCTAATTGGCAAAGTAGAGCTGCTCCGCGCTTAATCCAGAAACTGTCGTGTCGTTCACTTGGCAAGTAGATGGGCAACACGAAGTTAGTTGAATGGCCAGTGGTTGAGAGCACTCCTCTTCTTTCGCTCGTCTTATAAACTGGACACATATAGAAGTGGCTATCTTCTTCTCCTCCCATATTTGACATCTTACTCTCGGCTTTCGGCACCGGTTGAAGGTGAACTGCTGGAAAGGCTTCATTTAGAACCTTCGGTAATTGGTCACCGAGTTTCATTCTGAAAGGAAAGAGTATTTCAAGGTTGACTTAATCTTATCGCAAAAGACCACAGTAAACACTATGCCTAGCCAATCGCAAATCAACCTTACTTAACATGCATTAATCAAAAATGACAATAACAGGAACTAACTTCTCATAATCCCATCGAAAACCGTCCGTGAATAGACCGTTGATGTATGTGCCTTCCTTGGGAGGAGTGTCAACCGTTTGTACTGGCTGAACCTCGAAATCAAAGACTAACTGATCGATAGGAATGGTATGTTGACGAGCATAGTTCTGTAGAACACCCGTTAAGAAGGCTTGAGTGAAGAAGAAACCGGATAACCAGAAGGTGGTTGGCTTTGAGTTTTCATGCCAGCGCTTTAAAATTTAAAAATAATATATATGACTTTTTCTCACAAAGTTAAATTTTCACGGGAGTAAGAAAACAATATTCCAAATCTCTGTTTTACTTACAAATAAAAGTTCAATTTTCATATCATCCCAAACCTGGACCATGACAGTTTAGAATTTAAAAATATAAAGGAAACACCTAAAGGCCATTTAAAAAATTTTCAATCCTTTATAAATCAAATATTTACCATGCCATTTACCATGTTCAGTGACGTACCCACTCCTCACTACGCGGAGACCATGTTTAGCCCTAAGTAGATCTCCAAGTGGTTATGTTCACCAGAAAGCCTACCCAACTCCTCCACGATTTATTCCTAGACATCAAAATTACTGAGCCTACTTCAAGTTGAAACATTCCTGTTTACTCGGTCAATAGACTGCATGAATTGACTATGTACATGCATTAGGTATTTTAAATTATCATTTGAAACGTGATTAGTGCAATAACTGATCGCGATTGCAAAAATAAGTGTCTGTTATTGCTACCAAGGTTAAATCTAATAACAAAAATAGATTTCAAGGCATTTCAAAAGCAGTAGTAAAACAAAAGTTAGGGATATTAGAGAAGAAAACTAAATTCACACCCACTCTAATAACCACTAAAAGAGGTGAATTTAAACGCGCATAGACTCTTCAATTAAATTTTCCGATTAACCACAAAAGTTAAATGTATTCGAGATTATTTGCCACCGTTTCAACTGACCTCAAAGAATGCCAACCGCTCGCAAAGATCAAGGATGTAGCTGCCAAGAGGTTTGAGACTGGGGTAGGACCGTAGCGCCCACGCACTTGGCAATCGACCAATCATCAGCGAAACCGCAACCTTCTCTAAATCTGCGGACATCACCTCCAAACCACTTATTGCTTTTTGAAGGTTCTTCAAACTCTTTAGGATTATCCCAGTCAAACTAAAAGCAAAGCATATTCACCAAGAGAAGCTTTATAAAGCAAATAAAAAACGAATATACCACCAATCTGTGGAAATAAAAAACATATTTCAATCTTACTTGTTGTATCTCTCCATCTCTTGAACCAGCACTGTGTTCATACTTTCCTGGTACACAAGTGGATACTTCTTAGAAGCGCTTCTAATGTCAAAAGGTGGAGGAAGTTTACTGATAATATCAGTAGCTATTTCGTTGAGTTGGTTGTCACTTCCAGGTGTTGAAGGTACTCCCTGACCACTTCCAGCAGTGCTATTGATAGTCAAAAGAGCATCAGAGAGCAGGGACTTTGTTTCAGACTGTTGACGGACTATATCCACATTCTCGTGCAATCCAAACACTTCTGGTGTTTGGGTTGAGGGCAAGGCCTACAATCGAAATTATGCTGGTATATGATTACTCACTTTAATGAAGTCAATATACTCCTGATACTCCATCTTTGGAGGAACGTAGTAATTAGGATTCGTGGGCAACTTGTATTTGTTTTCATTGACAAGTGCTGGACAATAGAAATCGAGAAGAAGTGTCAATAGACAACGGCGATCTCGCTCGTCAGTTACTCGTCCTCCATAGTTACATTCGCCTGTAAGGTAGTTGATTGCATCAAATGGTACCTGAAATTAAGGAATTGGATTAATCATCACTGAAACTATATACATCATGTTCAGTTAATAGTCCTTTCCTCACCTGTTCATATTCGTTCATAAATAGTTGAAGTTGTCTAACAGATATATGAAGGTCAGATAAGTTGAAACCATAAGGAATGTTCCATCCGATTGGGCCAAATTGTCGACGTTCTTGGACCAGTGCGTGAAAAAAGCACAGACCATATAACAATTTCTCAAACGTCTATTCCAATAGAGAAATAACAGTAAAATAAGATTGGAAGAATTAAGATGAGAAGATGAAAGGAAAGAGGTGACACAAACTAACAGCTTCGTGTTTAGGACATCCATAGAAAAAGTTTGGATCGGAAATTGGATCACTACAATAAGATTGAAGTAGATTTTGCCTCAGCCCAGCTGGTGGTTCATTGGTAATCTTAACTCCTTTCTGAAGAACAGTTACTGGAAACTGAAGACAAAACAATTTCTTCATATGAAAACCAGGTTAAAAGCAAAAATCAGTAAATCGATTAAAACTCAGAGC